TATAACACATGTTCAAAAAATATGCGTATATGGCTGATACTAAATTTATTGCAGCGTCGATCATTGTTTTTGATTTATTATACTAAATTAGTTCAATTCATAAATAAAATTCAACCTCTTTTCTTTCGAAAGCCGTCATTTTTTTGCGTTTTTATATTATATTTTTGTTTTTTAAATAACTCTATTACCGACGATAGTAACATTTAGTAACTTCTTTTAGTTTTCTATTGCAGGACGACTTTTAGAATTTGTTTCTATACCTTGTTGCTCTTTAAAATTAATGTAATATGTTTCAAGTTTTTAAAATTCTGATGATATGTATTTATGGCTTTGAAAATGAACAAATTACGATGTTAGCGTTGAACTTCGTGCAATAATTTTTGTTCGAAATACACGTTGCTGAAAATGACTCAATTTAACCAACATTAAACGTGTATACAGGCCCTTAAGACTTGCACTTCAAAGACTCAAGGAAGTCATTTTTCAAGCCTTAATGGACTGAGACTTTCAAGAACCACGTAATTGCGATATTATAGGGAATTTAACGCTGAACACCATTGAAATTTTAAAGAGCTTTTAATGTTCCTCGGGTCTCTTATATCAGTCATAAATATTTCTTCTCATGTCTCGTCGTCATTTCACGTGAACCGTTAAAACTTCCATAACTGCTGCCATACGTATTGATTACAAAAAAATATGCGGTTATCTTTGCAGAAACTTTCCAAGGTTTGGCCAATACGAAATCAGCAGTACTTATACTTGGCTAAAATGTTCTCAGAAAATCTTTACCAACGTTAAGTTTTAATTTTAATTTTGAAATTTACTGAAATCGAGGCATTTCACCTGAATACCGAAGTATTTTATTCTTCTTTAGTCGAAAGACGCCGAGACGTTCGACGAGAAACGCCCAAGCTTTCCTCACTCCAGACTGAAAAGCTCGAGACATTCGACCCTCTACAAGTCGATAAGCATGTTGGCCGAGGCATCAAAGCTATTTCAAACAAGAAAATTGTTTAAAGGCCGGCGTCCCTAAGCGGGGCCGATCAAGTGGCTTCTCCATCCATCCATCCAACCTCGACCGACGAGAAAAGCAATGACGAGAGCATGCAAAGTATAAACCGACACTTGATCTTCAACGAGAACTTTACGAGAATCTTTGTTCGCTAATTGTGCGAGAGTCTCCCAGTCTTTGACGGTCATGCATCAAAAGTTATAAAATATCCATCGTTGTCATATGTCTTATCGATCCCACAACACCATTTGCATATTGATGATCTGCACTAAACTGTTCTCCAAACTTGTTCATAAACGTCGAATTTAAACAGATGCTTGCTGATAATATTTCAAGAGTTAATAGCAAATCGTTCAAATACATAATTGTATCAAACGTTAAGTTTCGATTCTCTTTGTAGGTCCTTGTTAAACAATTATAAGATCATTAACCATTTTTTACGCTAGATAACACCGCCAAATTCTGCATACCGATAATGTCAGTAATTATTTGTATTCACAATTTGTCAAATCTATTACGATACAACCGATAAATGTTAAGTTTTGCGTGACTCACAACAAGGTTCAAGTGGTTCATAGTAAGTTTTGCGTGACCCACGACAGGTTTCGAATGCCCCACGACAAGCCTAGAATGGCCCACGATAAATTTTGAACGCCCCGCGACAAGCCTTGAAGGGCCCACAATAAGTTTTAAGAAATCTATGGTAAATTACAAACGACCGGCGATAAACTTTGAGTCATCTACAAATATCGAGTGACCCACTATACTAAAAGAATACATTTACTAGAGTTTCAATTCTACAGTAACTGATGATCCCAATGTCCCAATGGACCAGAGTTTATAAATACTATACGAAATAATATATAAATAAATAACTTATACGAAATTTCTGCCCAAAAAAAGGATCTTCGCGATGGAACAAGGCTTATGGTAATAAGTTTGCCGCTGTTTAATTACAGCAGAAATGTAGCCCGACTGCAATCGAGATGATATTGTGGATATTCTACGTATTGATTTAGCTCCTGACGATGGAAATTTGCCATTCGTATTAAAACGTCGACGTTTCACCATTATTCCAACTCTTGCTTCGACTATTAATAAATCTCAGGGACAAATATACGATCATGTGGGAGTTCGTTTTAACGAACCGGCATTTTCTCACGGCCAGCTCCATATTGTTTTATCCTGTACACGAATCAGAAACAATATTTAGACTTTTATCATTCCGAAAATTTTTGCACAGAATGTAATTTATAAGGAAATACTGTAACCTTTTGCGGACGAGAGGCGACTCTCGGTCGCCACGACGTTTCGCGCGACAGGACGAGTGGCGAGTGAGAGAAAATTATTTTTCTGGGGACTGAAAATCTGTTTAATTAATTCGCACATTCTCTACAAACATGTAAAAAGGCAGAGAAACGAACAGCCAGTTACACATTTGAACTTTCGCAAAATTTCAGTCAAGAAATTGAGAGGAAATTTTCGTCAACCACGAGATAGATTTTCAAGTTCGATGTTCAACTCTGTAGAAATTCGTCTAAACGGAAAGCTTCATGTAAATAATTCTTACTGGCACGAAGAAGGATTGCAAAGTTTGTTCTAGTCGAAACAAACCAGGGGGAAAAGACATGAGACGACCTATTTTTGTGATACATGTCCAGATAAGCTAAGAATGCATCTTGGTCAATGTTTTATAAATTATCATACCAAGCGAAACTACAGATCTTAATTTTTCTAAAATTATGTTCATAAAGGTGTGAATATACTAGATAAGATAAACTATCGAAATATAACGTTTTTGTAAGATAAATTGTATGTAAGATCATTTAATTGTACATACCATGTAAGACACTCGACATATTTGTAAAAACCGGCTGAAAAAGTCGTCGTCCGCAAAGGGTAAATTACATTTTAATATACATGAATAAAAGTAAAAAATGTTTTTCCAAATCATAGTCGCCAGTCATACTCGGCGAAAAGATATTTTAGTCTATAAATAGTATCCAAAATTATTAGGAGCACGATGCAACATGCAAAAATGTTTTACACTTTGAATTACAATTTGAAAGTTTCGATTAAGTGGCAATTTCTAGAACCTAACACGTTGGAAAGAATTCTCAGAAACCTCTTCTATAATTTCTAGATATTCGGGTATTGATAGATTGTGATTATTTAATAATAGATGTGTCAATTCGTTTCTGTGTATTGTGTAAGAAACTTTGTAAGACAGCCGTGTATCAATGTTGTAAAACTGCCGACAATTCGTGGAAATCCCACGCTGCGGAGGATACCCGCCCACAAGACTGCGACGCAGACTGATTGGCGTCAGTCAGGGCCGTGATACAATAGGGTGTCACGGTAAACACCCTACTTCTGCTATACTATTGTTAACGAAACCAAGAGTTAGCTACGAAGCTACTACCGTTTCTAATACGTCTCTTACAACGGATTGGAACCAAGAAATTCTCGCCAGGCAATAAATTCTTGGTCCATCGTTGTTTCGATGCTCGAAAAACGTCAACGACAATTTATAAAATATGATAATTAAAAAAAAGTCGTATTTCTTTTGAAAAAATATACTCGACCTAAACCTGTTTAAAGATTCAGTGGTATAGAATGTAATACATCAGACTCGTCGAATGACCTACATAAAAGTATACTTTTTCCCCGAAACGCGAAATTTCTCTTCGTATCAGGTCCTTATTTTCTGTTGGTACGATATTCGGAGCAATCGATAATGTCACGTCCAATTCTCCTTAACGTCAGTAGAATAGTTCAGTACACGTCACACATACAATTTGTATCGCGGTATATCTGTATCGAACGGTAAACTAAAAGTTTTATTTTCCTATTGTGACGTAAGTGGATGAGAAAGCAACGATGGTATTTCGTTTTACGGTATTCTATTAAATCAGTAGAATGGGTACGTCAGACGGAAAACACGACGCTTATTTAGAGCGTATCTTGCGTGGTGTACAAGGAACGTTCCCCTGGGTGTAGTTGGTACACTGATACCGTGAGATGAAAGATAGAACAACGACGCGGGAGTTTGCCCCGTTCAGTAGAATAAGATGGCGTCTGTCAGACAAGTAGGAAATCGCCAGGAGAATTCGTAGCACGAGTCGGTCATGCGGGAAGGCGGTAGAATAGGACGGTGTTGCAAAATGTCACGTATGCTCTCGAGTCACGGGAGAAGAATAATTCACGAACAGAATCTTTAAACATTGTCTGGCTGTGCTTAACAAAACTTTTCAGCTCACAAAGAAATTCTTCCGGCGAACGGAACACGCCCGGAAGGCGTTTAAATATTTAACATCGAAAATGAAGCGGCCCTCAATTTCCTGAAACTCTTCCTCGATCCCTCCTACTTTATTAAAAGCCAAACCCATTTTTCCGACGCATCATATAATCGAGCTTCATAACGTTCGCGAAGAAAACTCGACCATCACCCCGTTTAGTGTGTTCCGAACTATAAACGCATCGGAAGGAAATTTATTTACGAAACACGAAATTACAAGGAAATGTTTCGCCTGGAGCGAACGGAGGCACGGAAGCCTTCTCTCGGAGCCGAGTTTCTTAACAGCCAATCGACGCAACCACTGCGCCTGTTTCGAAATCGACGAATCGAGAAAACTGCTGCATCCGAGATCGCAGAAACCGCGAAAGAAAAGAATTCCTGATGTCCCTGAGACTTTCGTGTTCGTGGGAAAAAGTTTTGGTAACGTGACTCTATTAGAAGCTAAGGTCTCCGTGCGAGAGAGTGTCACGTTTCGTCCTTCCAACAAAGTTCCAAGGCGAGAACGCGGCTCGCAAGATAAGCCCGTAATTTGCATATAAATTCGTGGTATCCTGCGTTTTGCTTTCGACCAAGTTTTCTATAAGCCGATACTTTGATGCGAGTCTTCATAGTTTTCAACTCCCAGCGGCGTGACGAGTTGGCTATTAAGAAACTCCGTCTCGAAGGGATTTTTGCTAGTAGCTGACTTACCTGGGCAACCTTTTCTCCCATGTTCGATGCATGCATGGCTCCTTGGAAGTATTTTGCAGACCCGTTGTCCTGCAAGGAAAACTGAAACAGAGAACAGCGAGAAAAGTTAGATGGGACAAGGCGAAACGTCAACATTCCAGTAGAAAACTAACGCTGAACGTAATTAATTAAGGAGGTTAAAACAACATAGTCGACGTTACCTGGATGTTCATTAAATTATTATTTTAAACACAATGTTATTGCTGCGTTAAATTCAAATTTTGTTAGCATCCGGCGCTTAGGAAAATTAACGTTGAAATTGGAGTTTTATACAAAGGCGCCCCAGTAATTATCGTAAAACCGGCAAAGAGGTGATTTTATTTGAAAATGTAGATTAAATTTTTTCATACGAGACTTTGTTTTCGAGAACATTGGCTTGAAATATTCATCGAATACGCGTGCAATAGAGTACGATTCGAGAACCAGTATAAGTAGAAATAGCGAGTAATGAACGGACGTGCCAAGCAAATAATATTCAAACTCACATGTATTCGACCACTTTTTAAATTCAATTATTTCCAGAACAAAGCATTACACGACAAAATTTTATTCTCCATTTTCCATTTATTTTTTGACATAAAATCACCTTTTCCGCTGTATAATTTTTGATATTAAGTATTCTCATTTCTACTTCTTTATTTAACTATAAAATATGTATGTATGCATATACAGGATATTCGGCCATCCCTGGGAAAAATTTTAATGGAAGATTCTAGAGACCAAAATAAGACGAAAATCAAGAATATCAATTTCTCGATTGAGGCTTCATTAAAAAGTTATTAAAAAATTACATTGAAAAATTTAAAATCATTTTGAAAAAATTATTTTTGGTTGCGGCGCTTAATTACAATCATTTTTGGAGAATACACAAATCCCTGAAATCCTACGCACTTTCGAGAAAAAAATTCTTCACCGAAAATCTAATATGCGGCCAGAAATGCTTCCCTGAAAATGTGAATCTTTAAAATGTCATAACTCCTGAACAGATTGGAGGATTTTAATTTTGCAAAATGCAAATAACGCGAACTTTAGTGGAGAATATGTAAAAATTGTAACAATATCAAAAAAGTTGTTCCTTAACACCGTAATGTGAGAAAACTCCCCTAAAACTGGTCCATTTCTCAATCGGCCATAACTCCCAGAATAGTGAATATATTTTAACGAAATTTTTTCCTGAAGTAGAGCTCATGGATACTTACAAAAAAGGATTAGACAAAATTTCCGTAGAGCGCCAAACAAATTTATTAAAAATGAAAAACGAATTTTTCAGAAAAATCGACCAATGGGGTAGGTGCCTAATTTTCTCGGGGAAATAAAAAAATTTCGAATAGTTCTAAAAAAATTATTTCTAGATTCTGGGGTCAAATACAATCATTTTTGGTGACTACACATACCCCCAAAATCCTACGCATTTTCGAGAAAAAAATCCCTTGCCGAAAATACAATATCTGACCATGAATGATGATTCCCCTGAAATTCGGCGAAATTGAAAACTTTCAAATCGTTCTAAAAAAAATTATTTTCCGTTGCGGTGGTCAATCATAATCATTTGTTATGAATACACATACCCCCGAAATCCTACATACTCTCGAGAAAAAAATTCTTCACTGCAAATGTTTGTATAACTTTTTAACGAAGCCTCAATCACGAAATTAGTATCCTTGATTTTCGTTTTATTTTGGCCTCTAAAATCTCCCATTAAAATTTTTCCCTGGGATGGCCGAACACCCTGTATAAGGGATACCTTGAAATTCAGGAAGGTGGACAAATTTTTCGGCGAAAAAAAAATTTAATACAGGCGGAACTTTAAATGTTAATAACTTTTTAACCGAGCCTCCATCAACAAATTGGTATTCTTGATTTTAGTCCCATTTTGGCATCTAGAATCTTCCATTAAAATTTTTTCCAGGGGTGGCCGGATACCCTGTATTTTATACGTTTAGGTAAGAAATTAATAAACAGCACTTGCCATCCTTCCTCTCAAATGTATTCGTATTTTAAACTAATTTATCTTATTGCTATAACTAAAATCTTATTGCCTGCGTCGCTAGATAATTAATTAACTTCCTTAATTTAATCAGTATATTGTTATCAGAGTTTCCATAATCTTACTTTGTGTTTGATGGAATACGGTCCCATCTGGCTGAGGGATGGCGATTTCCGGTCCATGGATGTCCGCCATTTCTGCAAGTCGCTTTCGGATGCGACACCAGGAAAGATTTTCGAATGTTTAGTTGCTAAAAATACAAATGCTCGCGTTAAACATCGCCAAATCATCGCTTCGTGCCGATCGACGATATTCTTTAACCTATTATTGTTACAAAAACTATACGTGTGAAATACAGGCTCGATTAAATCAAAACTATCCAACGTGTGTTTCTCAAAATAATTGGTAAACGCAATAAACCTGGCGTACTAACGCAGTCTGCGCGAAAGAATTTGGCAAACTTCGGTGCGTTACACTTTCTTTCTCGTCGAAAGCGTTCGAGGCGTAAAACGAAAAATGAAAAACAAATAGATCGGCTTTGATTTCTAACAAACTATACAAAATCAAACTCGCCGGTCAACGTTACAGTATTCCGGGAAACCTTTACAGTAACACCAATTACAATCACACGCACTAGTCTAAATGTAAAATACGATACGATGACGAAGCGCCACAGATCTCGTAATCGATGCTATTTTACAGTAAACGGTTCAACAAAAGGATACAATTACTTGACGTGTGTGTGAAAATTAAAAAATGGTGGCCAACTTAGAGCCTACGGATTATGTGTAGTGTAGAAACCAACCAACGAAACAACCGAGCCTATATCTCTGAATCTAAAAGCGTTAAATAGTGTATCGTTAACAAGTTAGTCAATTCGCACTAGAAGCTGCATACCTGTGAAAGAAAAATCGTTTAAATGTTCGTAAAAAGACCGTGTAATTATTTTCAAAGATGACGATGCAGTAATTGCTACTCTCGAGTAGTATGTATAATTATTTGTAACATTTATATATGTGTGTACAGAGTGAGATGATAATTTTCACCGTCTTCAATATCTTCGTTATTTTTGGAACTATAAAGAAACTTTGTTTACACAAGTTGTGTGACACAGAGGGGCCATGATATGACAGTAATTTTTTCTTTTGTGGGTGAAGAATTTTCTTAATGCTATATTTCGTTTTATCCCTAGCAGAATAGCGAATGTTTAGATGATTTCAAGTAAATCGACAATATATAAAGAGCTAAACATCCGTTATTTTATTAAGAATAAAAAAGTGAAAAACTAGAAGTAAAAATTAGAATAATTTTGAAATCTTTAAAAACTTTTTACTTACGAGACAAAGATTACTGTCATATTTTCATACAATTTTTGTAAAGAATGCTCCTTCACGATTTCATAAATAATGAAGATATTCAAGATAATCAAAGTTATTGTCCCACCCTGTATACTGGATGTTCCATTTTAGTCGATCTACTTGGTCATCTCTGAAACTAACGATGTTAATTAAATGATAATTACTCTGTTTCGAGAGTAACATCTCACGAAGAGCATAACTTTGTTCCACACAAACACACTTATGAGATTTCAAGGTTTCCTTTGTTTTTTTTTGTTATCTATTTACTTCTTTCAATTGGATTTATGAATAGACGAATTTCAAGTTAGTGTAGGTAGATTAGTTCACGAGTAAATTTAGAATTTGTATTCCTTGTTCGCGAATAAAATTTGTCCAACTTTGGCACAGGACGACGATATAAATTCGTGAACATCACACGAATGTTTAGTATCGTTGTTTACAAACAAAGAGCAGGCATTCGTAGAATATGCGATCGTTATAGCATTCCTTCTCTTCATACCTTTGGTATTGCTTGTGCTTTGCTCCTTAGCATGCTATTATTGCGAGGTGATCGCGTTCATGAACGATGGCGGATTACACATCCAGTGAAATTATGGATACGACGCTGCTATTGGGAGAATGTAGGCAAAATTGTCGCACAACAGCACCGTTACATCATGACAAACGCCCACATCATGGGGTGATTTGGAATTCAAGAACATTTGCAACGACGTCGTTAGCACGACCGTTCAAAGATCTGTAAATTGCAGTTATAAGAGCGATAATAATACTACTCGACAACAAAATCCTCCATCGGTCAAAATCTCGCGTGTTTCAGAAATTTTTATGTCTTAAATTCAGATCTAGAAATAAAATTTTTCTACATTAGATTTTTGACAGACGAAAAGTTAAAAAATTCATACAGAGTAAGGTATGTTTAATTCTGTATTCATAGACGATTAAACGAATTAATCGCTTTGATTTACGATACAAGCATTTTTAAGTGCCTCATACGTCTTCAGGTATACTGCATAAAAATTATAATTTGAAACAACAATATTTTTTAACGTAAAAATTAAAAATTGTAATTTCATTTCTTTAAAAATAAATTTTCGGTTTTAATTTTCCTGGATTTCTTTATATTAAATTGAGTGTTGGATCATCAACCAATCATTCGGAGATCAAATAAGTCGTTGCATAAAAAATTGATATAAAAATTTACTGGATAAACCAGAGTCTAGCATATTGTAGCTCATTGGATTCGTCTATTTATAAACTGCATGTCCAATTAAAAAAGATATTGGTTTAAAAATAAAAATAAAGGTATCCATGAACTCTCAGAAGTGCCTCCACCTGGAAAAAAATTATGTTCAGCCCTTGAAGCAAAGTAATTTTCAACTGACAAGAGGAGGATACGAATGGAACGAGTATTTTCTAGATGAAAGTAGACTAGAAACGTAGGACACGATGGATTGAAACGGATCTCAGAACATTAGCTGTTTTAATACAAAATTAAAATTTAAAATCGTTTGCATTCCAAATTAAAGATCTTAATGAAAAAAATAAAAATGTCTTCTCGATAGTTTACTTTAAAATATTGAATCTTTTGTTGTTAGTTGCTCTTTTAACAGCACTCGAGCCAGCATAATTACCTGTTTTAATTTATCGTACTCAACGTTGGAACCTGACTTGATTCAAAAAACGTTCGCTCCATTCTGCTCTTACAAAACATTTTTTTCAAAATATTATTAGTTTCAGAGACAATCGCTTAAAATGGACGATCTTGTATACGTATGAGGAAAATAATGGGAGCCGCTTCAATGATGATTTGTACAATGAAGTCATGTAGGTTCTGTCGATTCTGCCATCCTAGACCGATTCCAGGGATTTCATGGGCCGCCCGGAAGTTGCGAATTCGTGATTGGAGAAAGAGAATAAGCTGTGTACAGGTCAGCCAGTTTTGCCCCGTCATGACAAAAGCTCAACTAATATGTTTTTATTTCCTATGCCTCGATCAGTCTTGATAACACGAAATATTCAATAATAACGTTTAAATCTTCAGTACCGAGTAGCGATGGGACTGAAACGCGTTTCGATGCCTTCGATACAATTACATTTAAAATTGATACTGTTGCATCAAACCATTCAAAATGCCGTCAAACGTTTTGAGACATACCAGGACATGCGGCTATCGTATCGATACCTATCAATCGCATAGTTTTATAACTGTATAATTACGTTAACAACTCACCTGAAATAAAAGGGGCGATTCTAATACTAATCAACCAATCTAAATGACAAACAGTATTAGTAACCTATTAAGATTAAAATCTGTTGAATTTTACATAGTCGATCGTGCTGAATTTTTTATATTAAAAGGAAACAGAGGGACGTGACAAATACAACAAAAGAAATAATACTTGACAACCTTTCTAAAAACAGGTTCAATAAGTTTGTTTAACGCTTTGAAACTTTTAAATTGCTTAGTGTGCTCGTTATAAAATATAAAAAATGATTTTGGGATACTACAGTACAATTTTATAAATCTGACAAGACGTTGATAAAGAAATAAGAGAAATTTTTAACTTTTCAAATTGAGCAGTATTTATTGTCAAATTAAAACGAAAAGCAAATTGAATATTCATTAAAATTAGTTATCCTGACATCAGAAAATGCCAACAGTAATGTAATGAATATTTTATCTGATAATATTATATGTCAAATGTATACTTAAAATATATTATATCAATTTTTTTTTAATTATATTTAAACAAATTTATTGAAATCACTTTGGATAGGTTGTGTCCAATTTATACAACTAACAAGCATCTTGTACGTTTAATAAAAATAATAATTGTACCCAAATAATGATTCTTGAAGTCAAATAATTTGCATACTTAGTATTTTTAACCCTAAAGAGAATAAATCACAAGCTCTTACGTAAAAAACCAAAGGGAGAGAGGGGTTCGTCGAGCTCACTCACGTTCACCACATTTTCGATTTGAAAATAATTTTTATTATATCTAGTTTAAGAGCAAATGATAAATTCATACGTTCAGAAACAAATAAAAAATATAATAATTTTAAAACCTACAATACTTATAGAAAAACCTTTCTAACTTGAAAAAAACATAAGTTATCTTGTTGTAGCAATTGCATTCTGCTGCTTTTTTTAAATTATTCAGTTGTTTTGTTAAACATCAATTCTAACTACACAAGAGACAATTTTGTTGAAAATATATTTTACAAAATAAATGGCATATCTTTAAGAATTTCTGACTGGTAAGCTCGATAAGCCCCACCTTTGCCTTTCTAGGGTTAACATTCTAGTAATTAATCAAAAAAAGTAATTGTTCCTACACATCGTTTGAGAACGACTTTGTCGTTAGATTGGTCCCATCACTAACAGAAAGAATCTGAAGATGTCAGTACCTTTAACCCTATCACTCTCATCTAGGCTCAAACGACTTCGTAAATCTTTGAACGAATGGCATAATTTATACGTGGAGCCACGATCATTCCCGGAGGAATCACAATGGGTGTAAGAAGTATTCGTACAGCAATTTATTTCAACAAAATAATTGTACAATATATATTCGTTTTAGAAAGAATCGTATAACTAACAGTTTTGTAGATATTCCTTGAGGTTCTTCGATAAATTGTCATGTAAACAATAGTAAAATATTAGAGATAATTAAATTCTACGCTAGAAAGTTAAATAAATTGGTTTTTATCTTGTTCAAAGAATAATTGAAAACGACAAACATAAAAATGTCTAGTTTGTTATTTCAAACCTATTTTCCCATACTTTTTATTTGCAATTTTTTAAATATTTTGTTTAATGTATTTAGGAAAACTGTGTTATTCAAACAATTATTTTCTTTAATTGAAATAATATTAAAACGATACTTGTCTTTATTAATTTGAATTTATGTTCCAAACCCGGAACAAATAATTTTTATGAATGGTCTTCTCCTTTACATTTAATCTATCGATTCGATGCAATGAAAAGCTTTTGATGAATTATTATTCCCCAGTAAATCCATTAAGAGTAATCTTCGCTTCATTTTTTATTTTCAGAAAAAGTTATTAATAAAACTAATTAAAGTAAGTACTCCACTTCGTCATTGATCCAGTGATCGACACTTTCTATTTCAATACTTCATTAATATGATTATTAGCAGCTCGATAAAAGCATTATGCTTTTTATTATTAGTGAATTATATATATTGAATTTCTTGATATCGATGATACTGTAACCGTTATGTTAGCCACGATAACGTTATAAATTCACAAATATACTTTAAATATTCTATTATAATTCAAAGTGACGAATATCTAAAAATAAGTCGATATTTGGGACTGTTGCTTGGCGTAAAATTTCAATTCGAGTTAGTCGCTGTACGAATACGCTTCACTGTAAGTTAAAGTCGAGATGCTTGTTTTTAATGACACGGGAGTACAAAATGGCTTATCAAGCGATGCTACGGTGCTCGTCTCGTAAACAATACGGCGTAAAGATACGCGAAAGATGAGAGAGTAGAATAATGTAAACAGGTAAAGAGTAAGTAAGTGTATATAGGTGGGCGGTGGTGACAATATAAAAAAAACAGGCCTATGAAAGCTCAATTGGACAACGGTACGTTATCTCTGGTAAGCTCATGACCAAAAAAAGTAAGCCGCAAGCGCTTGGTAAGTTGTAAAAGGGGTGCAAACTCGCCGGCGCTCGGTCGGTTATAAGAAAAACCAAAGGGGGAGCAGGGTGGCTGCTCCATTCTGTTTTACCTTCGGTGAGATTATCGACTGTCGCTGGCCGTCGTTCGAGGGTGACGTGTTCGCTCCCTCGGCCCGCTACTAAAATACGTTTCTGTGGTTTGACTTATGAATTTACACTTTATACCGGTGGGTGCGGGCCTGATTTAACAAGGAACACGGAAATGCACGCGAGTATGTCATGGAGAAAAGGGGGATGATTGACGGGAACGGAAACGCGATGTTCCCTGAACGCGGCTGAGACTCCGGGGGTAGTTAAAAGAGGGGTTGCTCTCGGTAAACAGGCGCCAACTCGCGCTAATTTTCTGAGACTTGGATTCGGGCACGGTACTTTCGATTTTCAAGCTTTTCTCGTTGACAGATAGCAACGCTCCATTTGTTACCATTACATTTTTCGTTGTATGTAAGTTCTACCGTATTCTGGTCATCTAATTGGGATCACATACAAAAATTTCACTTTTCTAACTACAATACTATATCATAAATGTCATAGTATTCATGAATGTAGGCGTAGTAATTAATCTATTACTATTGATAAAGTGATAATTCACGTGGATAACGAACAAGTGTCGAGCAAAAGTTTACACTTTTAACCACTTTTTAAAGGATTATTTTTATTTCGATGACATTAAAATTGTGACTGGATCCACAATTCCTTTCCATTTAATATAAATTCTATCCAAGATAAAGATCTAATCGATGGGTATCTGAGATTGTTAAGAATGTGTACAAATTATTAGATTTAGTTATTCATTACTTCGCTATTAGAGTTCGATGACCTATTTTAATTTTTCTAGAAGACTGATAAATGTTTGAAAGTTCCGAGTGGTTCTAATTGAATGACCAGGAGCCGCAGCAACTTAGTGATATCTCGTTTAGCTTCTTCTCGTGTAAGGAGAAACCTGAATCGCTGGATTTCGAAAGATCAAAAGAAACAGGGAGTTTGCATGAAACAAGTGTGTTTCTGTGACAGTCTATGAATTGTGAAATGTCAGAAAACCGGTTCGAACAAAGGCCATCCATCATCGGTAGCTTCGTCACACGAAAGCTTCCACCAGCAACCATTGGACACGCGCGGCCACTATCTGTCAACATTCGCGACACGAAACATCGCATTCGGCAACATTATCTTCTGCGTCGTTAATTGCAATTTCGCTGAAACACGCGTACATTCACGTTCGACGGTGTTGCGTGAGCAAACACGGGTAAGCACCGGAAGTCGAATCTCTGCGAAAGCAACGATCCGAGACTCTGTCACTCGACGGTTGGTCGGAGTTTCGTCGCATACGATCGAACTCGTCCCAGGGACGGGTTCGAGTTCCTGGAACGAGCGTGAAAACCTGTCGTCCTGTTTGGTCGCAGAACGAAACGGTGACACACGGAGCAAAATGCAACACCTAGGTGTAATCGAACGGCCATGAAAAAAAGTAAAAGAAACTCGCCGTTCCACAGAAAATAAGCTCGAGCTAATACGTAAAGAGGCAACCCACGAAATACCGATAACACGAAAACAGAACGTAACAACGAGCAGACAGGGGCTTGAACGACATACTTACAAACGCTGCAGGTGAGGCTGCGACACGGCGTTCTCGCTGCTTCCGGTTTCACGGCCCTCCTCGAAATCGCGTCCAAGCTAGCGGCGTGCGAGACGCTCCGCGACCGGCCCTCCGCGCCCCCCGCCGACGAGAAGTTCCCGCCCTCCCAAATCCCGGACTTCTGGGACACCTGAAACGTGAACAGAGAACCGTGTCCCGTGTACCGACAACCTACCCTTGACTCGGACTTCCGCTTCACGTGACAGTCGGCTGGGAAATATCGTTGGCATCGCCGTACGCTCCTGCCACGCACGATCGATGCCGGACGTGTTTTCGAGCGAGTGCACGCGATCAGGCTGAATTTACAGAGGATGTCGGGGAGGGTCGTTTTTGGGGTTGAGGGCACGGTTTAAGGCTAAGGCTCCTCCGTACCAGAAGATATTATGGTCTCGAAAATGCTGAGTATTATCGCGTACACGCGTATCCGACATTGCTCCGGTCCCGAAGTTCCCGAAATTCGGGCACAGTCATATCCTAGGCTTACCTTTTCTCGATTTACGTCGTTTTGCACTTGTGTTGTTTCGAGTAGTGACACGTATTTTGCTTCATTAAATATAACTGTACGACAAACTTTATCTACCTAGTAGCTTTTACTGAAGAATGAAAAATCTATCTCTTAATCTGATATGATATTGATAATATACGAAGAGTGTTCGGCCAACTCTGGGACAAATTTTGATGGAAGATTCTAGAGGCCGAAATAAGATGAAAATTAAGAATACCCATTTGTTGATGGAGGCTTCGTTAAGAAGTTATTAATGTTTAAAATTCCGCCTGTATTGAATTTTTTTCTCGAAAATGCGCAGGATTTCGGGGATATGTCTATTCACTAAAAATGATTGTAATTGATCCCCGCAACCGAAAATAATTTTTCAGAACGATTTTAAATTTATTAAATTTTTTTTTCGCCGAAAAATTTGTCCACATTCCTGAATTTTTTTCTCGAAAGTGCGTATGATTTCGGGGGTATGTGTATTCACCAAAGTGGTTGTATTTGACCCCAGAACCTAGAAATAATATTTTTAGAACGATTCGAAATTTTTTTATTTCGCCGAGAAACTTAGGCACATACCATCCTCCTTGGTCGATTTTTCTGAAAAATTCGTTTTTCATTTGTAATAAATATGTTTTACGCTGTAAGGAAATTTTGTCTAATACTTTTTTGTAAGTATCCATGAGCTCTACTTCAGGAAAAAATTTCATTGAAATATATTCACTCTTCTGGGACTTATGGCCGTTTGAAAAGTGGACTATTTTCTGAGGGTTTTTCTCACTTTACGGAGTCAAGGAGCAACTTTTCGAATATTTTTGGAATATCTACATATTCTACACTAAAATATGCGTTGTTTGCCTTTTGAAACATTAAAATCGTCCAATCCGTTCAAGAGTTATGACATTTTAAAGATTCGCATAAAGGGGAGCATTTCTGGCTTCACATTAGATTTTCGGTAAGGAATTTTTTTCTCGAAAATGCGTAGGATTTCGAGAGTATGCGTAATAGCCAAAAATGATTGTAATCAACCACTGCAGCCGAAAATAATTTTTTTAGAACGATTTGAAAAATTTTATTTTCACTGAAAACATTCAGTAGAAATTTTTTTCTCGAAAGTGGGTAGGATTACGGTCATTTAACTGTTTTACCTTAATTTGTTTTGCAATCTACATGTTGTATAAAAACACGTTTCGAACGAAAGTTGTTTGATATAAAGAGGTGCATACACGGTAACAATTAATTTGTTGCTATTTTATTTTTTTATCAAATTTTTCTGTACACAAACCTTTTGCTTTGACAGAGTTTCACTCAGAGGCGCTATAAGTGGGAACCATACTCCGCTTTTCAATATTACTAAATTTCATTATGACGGCAATATTTGTCACGTTCGCCTCGACTGGTGATTTATCACTGTGGAATTGATTCATGCAGCAATAACATTAGAAAACTTTACATGTTTGTAAATATTGAAATTGGGGCAAGCGCTGTGTAGAATTCTCATACACAAAAGTTTCACCATCCTTCATTTCTGACCTCATGCGTTTTAATAATCTTTTATTCTATATTCTATATGCCATAGACTTTCGAATAGCATGATTAAATGTTGCACATTATAGTTAAAAAAACTCAAAGTGACCTTCATATTTTGGTAAAAAAGGAAAATAGCAAAAAATTAATTGTTGCCGTGTATGCCCCTCTTTATAACAAACAACATTTTTTCATACAACATGTAGTTTACAAGAAAAATTAAGGTGAAAGAGGTGAATGACACCCCGATATAGAAATAGGAGGGTCGGTCGAGTACTTGTGAGAGAGATAAGTTGCGCATAGCCCTCTGCTGGCAAGTGTGGGGAGTTGTCGCCACAACATTATAAAGAGAACGTAACTCATATCGTATGTCATGGATTATTAACAAAATGTTAGTGAACAATTTGAATTTTTGTTGTATGAGTGTATCAGCCTCGTTGAAAACGATGCTTCAAATTAATGGTAGAATTCTATCGACAATTATTTTTTAGTATCATTAATATCATTCAAACCTTTCTGTAATATTTTTAAATTTATCTTAAAAATTTGCTTCTTCGAATGATTTTATTTATTCCATTTATTTTTATTTCATTCAACGTTATAAAATTTACAGTAAAATAGTAACTTAAAATGTAAGAAAGTGAGATAATAAAGTCGCTTCGGGAAATTGTATATGTACCTTAATTTGCATTTTCCAAGTCGAACGAGCAAAATGTTCGGTGATTTATGGACGGTAGTGTACGTGTGCATTATGTTTACCTCGACTTACGTGAGCTATTCTGAAACTAATTAGTACATAAGTTCGAAGTATAACTGTACCCGAAAGTGAGCTCGGGTCGTACCTGAGTCGGACAGGAACTATGCATATGGAAAGTATGTAAAAGCATATGATGTTTATGACTTTTTAATGGAATTTTCATCTTACTTTTTGAAATTCATTCTGTAATCCAGATTATTCTGTAGGGGAAAATTTGTTCCGGGAACAAAAATAAACGATAAGCCAACTGGCTCTTTCAGGGGAAAGAAAATTGTAAAAAAAGTGACTTGGTCGTAAAATTAGTGCGTACACGCCCGTTGCAAAGTTATGTCAGCTGTCAGTTATTGAAAATTGGCACTCTTACGTAATTTTCGACGCTAAATTGAATGGTGAAAAATGCGGGGGATGTTAAATTTTGTCGAATAGCAAAAATACTTCGCTGCGTTAAATCCAATAACAGCCAGTAAAGCAATAAAAATGGAACGAGACGCCAACGTCAATTTTCTACTTCGATCGAACGTAAAATGTTAACCTTGCATCGATCGAAATGTTATGCTTTGTTGCATGCGCGTATTACAGAATGTAGCGAATCACTACGTAGTCTTATAATGTTTGCAGTAAGAGTGCCAGATAATACAGGATGGTCCACGTAATTTGTGCTCTTCTATAATTTCCAAAATATAAAAAAGTTGCATGATTCTAAGGGGTTCACTATGTAGTACATTTGTCTTTTTTATAGGTGGAGTTTTAGAGATTTGAAGGTCAACTTTATTTTTTTAAAATGAATACTATACTTTTTGTACCAAACTGTGGAAGAATATTAAATTTTGAGTAAAACAGTATTGATCTATATTAGCGCTGTACCTAATAGCTAATGAGTACTGTTATTTTATTTCTTGAAAATTTTCTTCGCATAATATCAAACTGAAGATTTTTGTCACAGATTTCTGCAGAACAGTGAAAATTGTCAAGAAATAAAGTGAAATTACTCGTTAGTTATTAGGTTTAGGGCTAATACAGATCAACACTTTTTTACTCAGAATTTGATGTTCTTCCATATTTAAAAAAAATGAAGTTGACCTTCAAATCTTCGAAACGCCATCATCTATAAAAAAAGATAAATGCACTGCATAGTGTATCCCTTCGAGCCATGCAACTTTTTTACACAAGTTGCATAGACCACCCTGTATAACGATGGATGAAAAGAAGTAAAATGCTTGGGATAATAATGGTGAAAACGTTATCCTTAGTGTGACGTTGACACTGGCAGAAGCACATGGGAATCTTTAAAATTCGACGATTCTCGTGGGAACGGACAATTCCGGATATCTGCCGCTGATTCTATTAGCTCGGCTCGATAACGCAACCGACGTCCATTACGCTCGACCATCGGGGATGCTTGTGAAATTGAAACGGATGGAAGCAGTAAGCGCGAGGGGTGGTTTCATCCCCGATACTCTAAACGGCTATACGTGCGCTCCAATTGTATAACTTAGCTGCGCGCTATTAGATCGAGCTTTTTACGATACCATAACCTTGCATTTTACCAGAATCTCTACACCGAAAACTATCCTTAGACACGCTGGACCGAAATATTGACAATTTTACACAACATAAAACAATTTTCTTTTCGAATGCAGGGGACTGTATTCAATTTCGACAACGTTTCACTCCAAGTCAACTTGAATAATAAATCTCCATTATTGCAACACCATTTGCAATAAATACATGAAAGAAAAAAATAATAAAATTAATACGATAACGTTGCTTTCAGTCGATAAAAGTATTCCGATAGTCCAGTATGTAGAAAGAATTATAATAATAAATTTAATTTGAGATAAAGTAATGAAATTAAAAGTAAAGATCATAAAGAATGGAAAAATTCTCACGAGCAAAAATATTTCACAATCGGTTAAAGTTCGATTGAATTCGATTCGATGTTTTTTAAAAATGTTTCGTAACATTCTTTTTTCTTATAGCCATTTAGTTTTAAGTCTGTTCTTGTTACTTACGTCGCTCACCCCCTCGGGACTGGCAATCGGCGCTGTAGTGCTGGGCTGTGCAACGTTTGCGGTTACTGCAAACGCTGCACCACCATTGTTGCTCCCAGCTGGCGGAGGTGGAAGAGCGGGCGGGGGTGTACCAGTCCTTCCAGGACCCCAAGATTCCATCATTGTGGGCGAACCACATGTTAGTGGGCTGGAAAATATAGAAATCGATTCCATTAGATGCAAGCAGACGTTCGTGGTCGACCGGGTACCAAGAATAAACGATATTTCAAATGCAGTAGAATCTTTTTTACTCGAACCTCCGTTACTTTAATGCTTTACCATTTCAAGAATCTGTTATTCGAACGTTCGATTATTTAAACAGAACACGTTCTTGTAAAATATCGGTCCTCCTATTGAAACACTTTTCTATAACTGAAGAAACATATTTATGTAAATGAAACTGTAACTTTGTAGTTGTGCAATTTTTGGGCTACCATGACTTACAAGTTTATAGAGTATCTAAACCGAATTTCACAGTTTTAGTAATTTTTTATTGTACGTTTGTCTGTTTATTTCTTCATTTTGGGATAACTCAAAATGTATTGAATCTTTAATGATAACTTGCAAAGGAATTTAATATTGGTCAGACTAACAAGGAACCATCGCGAACGGTCCGGCTTCAATTTTGATGAAACTTTGTACACTTATAAAGCAGCCAAAAATAATCGACACGTATTTTTTTTTAGCTGCGGTAACTCGAGTTTAAGGGGTGAAACCACCCCTTGAAGTTTTGGCTCGAAACGGATATCTCGAAAACGGAAAGACATACAAAAAAATTGTTAATGGGCGAGGTTGATGGTTTCTTATGTACAATAACATGGTGTTAAAAAATTAAAAAAAATACAATTTGTTTATAACAAAAAAAATTTATTAACTTAATTTTTCATTTTATTGAAATTTTCATAATGACAAAAAATGACGAGCATTTTATTCCAAATCCATTGGTATGCGATTTTTTAAAATTGCCTCCTACAGTTTTGCAGATTTTGATGATTTACATCTTGCGCGCACATCCATTATGGTAGTAGCCGTTCTAACTTTGATTTTAATGAAGCACTGTAGGCTTGCACTAAATTATACAGTAACAAGTAACAAGTAACAATAACAGTAACAAGTTTCTTAACAGCAATGAAAAGATTTTTTTTTATACCCACCTATGACATTGTGGCAAAGGGGGAGCGATTTATAAATTATAAATACATACAGTGTGTATACCAGGAGATAAAGATACACTTATTCTCATGATGTACTTGCTTTAAAATACAAATTGAATAAATAAATATTGTCATTTCTGCGGCTCGCCTATCATGCAGTTTACGCACGTTATCTAAATCTTCACTGTTGTAAAAGCATTCTGTGTAATTTGTATAATAAAAATACGTGTCAAATGAGATTAGTATGTGCATCTGTATCTCTGTTGTTATTAACATTCTTTCAAATCGAGACGGTTTTTGTAATAAACATGATAAAATGGGTATATTGAAATGGAGTTTGTATTATACCTTTTGATAACGTGACATATCGTAAAGTTAATTAAATTGATTGCCCTTGTCATGTGAAAATAATATTTGTTGGTAGATAAGTGGGTGAACTTGGATATATATATATTGCAATTAGCTCTTTATAAGCGTGTAGAACATTGTTGGTTATCCATACAGCCGAGGTGCCGATTCTGGGCATTTAAACGTTGCACTTATCCAGCCAATCTTTTGTTGCATGTATCCAGCTTTTACTGTATTCGGAAAGATGGTAAATATTAATCCTATTAATGTAATAACTTTACTGTCTGCTGCGTTTGTTGAGTGGAACCAGGGACCCACGCCAATTAATAGCGCAGAAGAAAATTTAAGGGATGTATTATTCGATTTAATTGTAAGAAGTGTCGAAGACACGGCATTCCTGGTTGAACATGAAACGTGTGTTGAAATGGACGGGACGCCTATCGACCAAGAAAATCAGGATGCTGATTTGAACTGGTTGTGGGTAGATGAAGAGGAGGAAAATAGGACACCGAATATTCCAAACATATACGAACAAGACGTTGTATGTCATTCGAATAAGGAATACATCCCATTCGAATATAAAAGGAAAGCTGTGGCGTACTGGAACAGCGGGAAGTCGAAGCGATTAAAATTAGACACCGTACGTTCCAAATTCCGTCACGTGAAATCCGAAAGAATGCTTCGTAAATGGGCTTTACAAGTTGAACAGGGTGGCACAAAAAAGGAAAAGATAAAACGTATTGCAGAGTATACATTTAATAAATTTATGGAAGCTCGGCAGTTAAGAGTAATTGTGCATGAAGTAGATCTACGGCGATGGGCTTTACAAGCGAGGGACATAGAAAATTTACAAACATTTAAAGCCGGATATACTTGGCTATATACTTTTAAAAAGATGTTTAGATTAGTCTCCAGAAAAATTACCAGATTTGTAACCACAAATATGGTAAATCGAGAAGACGATATTCATTTGCAATGCAGCGCATTCGTGAATGAAGTAAAATCATATATAGCCCGAAATGAACCACACAATGTTTACAATTCCGATCAAAGTGGTTTTAATTTGGAATTACATTCAGGGCGCACTTTGGCTGAAGAAGGTATAAAAATCGTAGAAGGAGGTGTTCAATCAGTGTCATCCACCACTCATAGTTAGACCATCCAGCCAACCATTTCAGCTGATGGACAATTACTGTCACCATTATTTATTGTACTGAAAGAGAGTACAGGACATTTCGGGTCGATTGTGGAACAACATTTATTTCGCCCTGACAATGTATATCTTGTAGCTTCAAAGTCAGGCAAATTAACTACGGACCATTTCAAGACCTGGTTAAGAGAGATTTACTTCGCAAATACTGGGGCCGCAACAGTTCTAATTCTTGATTCCTGGAGTGGTCACTGTAAGAAGACGGTGAACGAAGTTACTCCCGAGGGTAAAAATGTAAAACTTTTTATAATACCAAAAGGTGGAACAAAGTATGTTCAACCACTGGATGTTTACGGTTTCCACACTTGGAAAAATTTCGTCCGCCGATTTTCCGATATAGTTCTCGTTTTAAATCACGACATTAATCTCCACGCTAGGAATAATATAATTAAACTTCAATCTCTGGTCCACAATCAATTTTCATCGCCAAGGTTCCAAAATTTTATTAAATACTCCTGGTATAAATCCGGATTTATAGATGAAAAGCCAAATGCATTCCAGAATCCTGTTGAGTACTGCTATTCTGTTGAAAATGAGCCAACATGTCATATTTGCGGTGACGTGGCAATAATTAAATGCGCATGGTGTAAGAAATCTTTATGTTTCAAACATTTTTTCGACGAGTACCACTATTGTCGGAACTATATAGAATAATTGTTATACACACTGCATATATTTATAATTTATAAATCGCTCCACCTTTGCCACGATGTCATAGGTGGGCAATAAAAATAATTAATCCTTTCGTTGCTGTTAAGAAACTTGTTACTGTTATTATTACTCGCTACTTATTACTGTATAATTTAGTGCAAGCCTACAGTGCTTCATTAAAATCAAAGTTAGAACGGCTACTACCATAATGGATGTGCGCGCAAGATGTAAATCATCAAAATCTGCAAAACTGTAGGAGGCAATTTTAAAAAATCGCATACCAATGGATTTGGAATAAAATGCTCGTCATTTTTTGTCATTATGAAAATTTCAATAAAATGAAAAATTAAGTTAATAAATTTTTTTTGTTATAAACAAATTGTATTTTTTTTAATTTTTTAACACCATGTTATTGTACATAAGAAACCATCAACCTCGCCCATTAACAATTTTTTTGTATGTCTTTCCGTTTTCGAGATATCCGTTTCGAGCCAAAACTTCAAGGGGTGGTTTCACCCCTTAAACTCGAGTTACCGCAGCTAAAAAAAAATACGTGTCGATTATTTTTGGCTGCTTTATAAGTGTACAAAGTTTCATCAAAATTGAAGCCGGACCGTTCGCGATGGTTCCTTGTAAGGATATTCCTATTCAGAAAAATTAAGGGTAATTATTTACTTTAGCGATTCCTCACCAATTTCGATGACTTTGAAATATGTTGTCAAGGTCACTGTTATGAATATTTTTTCTTTATACATGTTACCGCCGCTCGCCCTTCGTTTTCGAGATATTTGCAAAAATAATTTTATGTCTGTATTAGCCTCGGATTGAGTTGGAGATAAAATATTAAACTTTATTCTTTATTATTATTATTACTATTATCGTTATTGTTAACAGAAATTGGAAAAATGTCTGCCATTATATCAAAAAATGCAGGTACTCTTGTATTAAAATCATGATGACCAACGTCAAATAATGTATACTGTGTCAATGTAATGTCGGATAATATTAATAAAGAAAATTGAAATAGAAAATGAATGCGTGGCCGGCCGCCTTACGGCGGCCGGTATAAGAGAATCTAACCTAAACTTAATCCATTACATTAATTACTAGGTAGAATAGTTAGGCCGTGAGACGGCCGACTACTCACATCGAGTTTTTAAGCACATCCGTTATACGCACCCAATGCCGGCCATCTCGATGTATCTATAGAAATAATAAACAATCGGCGATTCAACGCTTACACACGCGCTGTCACAGTCACATACGTCTAGATAGAATTCATTGTAGTAGCAGCGATCTTTTTGAAGAAAAATCTCGGAAACTAAGACCGAGCGGCGGTTATATGTATAGAGAAAAAAATCTTCATAACAGCGACCTTGACAACATATCTCAATGTCATCGAAATTGGTGAGTAATCTCTAAAGTAAATAATTACTAAATTAAGAAACATGTGCATAAATGTAACAACACTATGAATCCAAAATTCTTTACGACGATGAGTACAATAGGTATACATTGTTAAAAAAAAGAAACACACATTTGATTTTGATAATTGTACAAGTTTAGACGAAAGAAAAATTATACCAAAAGACATGTTTCGGAACCCCTTTATAAAAAAAGCTACACGTATTATTAACTGGTAGTTGAAAACCTTTAATATAAACACTAGTAACAATAATATTACAAATTTGAAAAGAAAGAAGAAAATACGTAAAAATAAAGGTAATGGAAAACAACGCTTATATAGACACTGGATACTGCGTTGATTTTATGAATGACAATGTT